TTCATTTGAAAAGTCCCTATACGTACCCAGTAATTTACTCGAGAGCCGCCTTAGCCATTGCCAAATCGAATCCGCCTCGTCTCGCTTTCGAGTAACGTTACGCAACGTCGACGATTCTGGAGCGACAATTCGTCGCATTCGCTCCATCCTAGGATCCGCCTTATTTACCCGTGACAATATGTAAAAGGATAAAGTCGACGATGGGTGTCTCAAGTCGAATCTAGCCAAAATTATGATTTATGGTACTTTATGGCACTTATGGCATTTATTCGATTTATCGCATTTAGTAATGCAAAAATATAAAAGCACTACCTTTCTCATTCAATAAAGACAGTTCAGTCCTAGTAGAACTCGACTAGAGTTAAATACTCTGAATTCAGTGTTTCCGGTGTTAATTACCTCCCGATTAAAGATTGCTGACGTGTCTAGAACTCTAATTTACCCTAGTTACTCGTACCAAGTCTTTCCACACCTCAATCGTTGCCTTACCACTATTAGGTTCAGTTAGAATGGTTTAGTCAGTATTAGCTTAGTAGTGTTTAGTATTTTGTATTAGAGGGAAATCCCGCCCTTCACAACGTACATACGTATGCACAACACTATCACTAACGCTAAATGCTCACAGTTAACGATGTTACCCAAACTATTTGTGACGTTCCAAACTATGTGATGAATAGCATCACACGATTTCAGCAATAACAACAAGGAAATAAATACCTCATGCGATATCATTCATCACATAGTTTTTGACGTCCCAAAATAGTTTGGGTAACGTCTCTACTCACACAATTATACAAATTAACATATTCAGATAATGTACGACAGATAGATATTTTTTATATAATACTGTACTTACGTACATTTAATATCTGATATTCATCAAATAATTTCAAAATGATAACATAACCAAACGAATGCCTTTTTGAAATATTTAATAATATTAAACATTATAGATCATTATTTTCATGCCTTCTTGTAAGCCGTCAATGGTGTAGAATAGTTGTATCAATATTATGGAAAGAACCATTATTATATTGTATGGATAAAAGAATTATAAGAATATATCTTTTATTATTAAATATTGAAGAACAAAAATCATTAATTCCATTAAATATATTACTCCCAAATGATCCAAAACCATTATTTGAATATAATTCTTATATTACATCAATTGATGGTTATATTTTAGAACAAGGAATCACAATTTGGCTTTATAATGAAAGACATGTACCTAATTATTATCCTGATTATTATGACGAATATAAAATTGATAAGAGTGTGATTATTCAAACAGTAATTTCTTTAATTAAAATGTTATTAAGAGCAAGTAAAAAAATCAAATGTTTAAAAATTTTTAAAAATATTAATATAATTAAAATGATAAGATCATCAATAGAAACTTATGAAAATACCACTATAACATCATTAAATCTTATTGGTGTTAGACTTAGTTTTGAAGAAATAGAAGTATTAGTAGATCTTTGTGAAAATAATTATTTGATCTCATTAAACCTTGATAATTGTAGTCTTGGTCCTAATGAAGCAAAAATGTTAGCAAAAGTTCTTTATAAAAATACCGCTTTAACTTCTTTAAACCTTGGTTATAATAGAATTGGATTTGAAGGTGGAAAAGCACTTCTAAATGCACTTTATAACAATGTTTCACTAACTTCTTTAAATCTTGATGATAATGAACTTGACTTTGAAGATGGCAAAGCATTGGCAAAAGTTCTTTGTAAAAATACTACAATTACTTCCTTGAGTATTTATGATAATATACTTAGTTATAGAGGAATAAAAACGATCGCTGAGGCACTTTATAAGAACACTAGTTTAAATTCTTTAAATATTAGTTTTACAATGATTAATTCTGAAGGAGTAAAAGCTATAGCAGATGCACTTTGTAAAAACGTTTCTTTAACCAATTTAAGTTTTAGTGTATCTGAAATTAATTTTGAAGAACATAAGGCGTTATCAGAAGCACTTTATGAAAACACTACATTAGTTTCTTTGGATCTTTCTTATACTCAACTTTGTTATAAAGGTGTAGAAGCAATAGCCAAAGCTCTTTGTAAAAATGTTAGTTTAACTTACCTGAACCTCGCTGGTAATAACATTACTTCTTCATATGGAATTCTATCAGAAGCACTTTGTAAAAATACCAGATTGACCTCCTTAGATCTTCATAATAATCGACCTACTACTTTAGATTTAAAATTATTAGCAAAAGCACTTAGCAAAAATACCACTTTAACTGATTTAAATCTAAATAGTAATCATATAAGTACTACTGAAGGTGTAAGAGCATTAGTAAAAGCTCTTTGTAAAAACACCACTCTAACTAATTTAGATCTTTCACATAATATACTTACTTCTAGAAAAGGACGAACGTTAGCAAAAGGAATTTGTAAAAACACCACTTTAACTTCTTTGGATCTTAGTTATAATCGACTTGGTTATGAAGGGGCAAAAGAATTAATAGAAGCACTACGTAACAACACTACTCTAATCAATTTAAACTTAAGTGAGAATTATATTGGTGATAGAGAATATCAAACCCTAGCAAAAGATCTTTATAAATTCAATACCATTATTTCATTAAAGATGAATAATTCGTTGTTCTGAACTTTTATTAACTGTTCAAATGTAGCGAGATATTTATTGGTTAGTTAAGAAATTTTTATTTTTCTAGATATAGCGAGGAAAATTTACGTTTAAAATGTTATAATTTTAATTTTTTGATAGTCTAATTGATTTTATATTTGTGGATACAGTAAGAGTATGTACTTTACTTTTTTTTAAAAAAAATCTTTTAATAATATTTTTGCTCGTAATACTTATAACAGTTGTTATATGTAATAGTCTAGTAGTTAATCAATAATTTTTAGTTTTAGGGTTGGTTATACTAAATTAAATTTTTATTGATTTTACTAATTATGTAACTATCGAAATTAATGTTTTATTTTATTTAAAAGCAAAATGTACTTATAATCGGTGGTAACAATTTTGTATAATATATAATTAAACAAGTGCGTAAAAATTTACTAGAAAAATTTCAGACTCAAATGTTGTTGGCTATAGGCAGGAATGGTAAATGTTTTAAACCATGGTCTTAAAATATGATGGTTTGATTTTTTATTGTCATGATAATTGACTAATTGAAAAGTTGTGTCATTAAAGCTCTGATATATTATTTTGCACGTTCAAGTCAATTAGATGGTGGAAATCAAAATTTTCCTTCTGCAATTGAACTTGCTTTCCAGGTTTTTATGCTGCAGTAAAATGTTGCTGGTTCGATTTGGATTATTCATAATAAATATCGTGCACGTTTGAGTAAAAAAAAAAAAACTTGACTGTTTATTAAAATCCGAGAATGGCTGACGATGAACGTGGGAAAGAAAATTATTTTATTATATAATATTGCTTTTAATCTTCAATTTCATTCTAAGAACTTATTTAATGATATTTACTAGCAATTGTATTTTGATATACATGCATTATGTAAGCCTTGAACTTTCAATATCAACATAGTACTTAATATAAAGAATACTTGACTGATGTCGATAAACAACCTTTTTAAATTTGTCAAATTACATTTCATATAACCTTTTAAATTTACCAAGAATACATTTTTTGCTGAACAAAGTAATTTCAGTTTCAACATCAGCCGGCGATGTTTTTTAAAAAACTGTCTAAACCATTTTTTTATTATTCCTAGTTATAAAAAAGATATTTGCGTTAGATGTATAAAAAGTGTCTGTATTTAAAAGCATCATGGTGCTTTTTTAGAAATTATTTAAGGATACTGTAATATCATTTCATCTCACAGAGCATTCATCACCTGGGGTGACGACTATTATTTAATCGTTACCCTGTATGAAGTAGATGTCGTTATTTAGATTTACCACAAAATATTAACGGTAACCAATTTTTTATAGGAACATTAGATACGGTTATGGTCGGTCAATGACCAGTCTTAACTGTAACCGACCCACCCCTAATGGTAACATGGTAACCAGGGCAAAATGATTCTCTATATATTATTTGATGCTCTAATTTATGCCCGAACATTTGATATAAACCTAATTATTTGAACTTATAATTATAGCCAAATAAGAGTACGCATGCATGCTTAGAAAGTGCGTGCATTTATAGCGGATGAAATAGTTTAAATCTTTATAAGTTATAATTAAATTGTACAACATATTCAGAAAGAATTTACATAAAGAATACATTATATAGTGTAATACTCGACTGAATAAGAATCAAGTTTCAGTGGCGAAGTAATAATATTTTTTTTACAGCTGTTCTCATAAATTAAAAATTTTGTTTGTTACCCAAAATCATTTCAGTAGCATCCTGTAAATCACCTAACACCCTAAAATTACATCAAAGATAACGATACAGTTTTCAGAGCGTTAGTAATTTACAGGACGAAGTCGAAATGATTTTAAGTAACAAGCAAAATTTTAATTTATCCCGGAATTTACGAGAATAACGATAAAAAAAAAAAAGGTAATACTATGAAATTCCGCTCGGCAACAGATAAATATTTTATTTATTTATCAGACGATCTTTCTAATTGTTCGATTCTTTTTTTTTTTTTTTTTTACAAATTTCTATATAGCACTTTTTTTTTAATTCCTATGTGTCAATTAATCTAGTAATGGTGAATAATTTTCCAGTGTCTTTTTCTAAATCTAAACATTTACATTATGTAATGATAAAATCTAGCAACAATTTTGCCAGCTTTTAGTGAAAGTGTTCCAAAAACTAATTTTGTCGATTAGTGAAAGTGTTTTAAAATCCAATTTTGCCAGGTAAGTCGAAACAGTAGCCATATATTCAATAAAATCGATAATTGATTATTTGTAGAATAGCCTCTCGTAAACCGATAACTTTTAAATTTTCGTCTTTATTCTCAGGATCGCACGTTATGTGATTATCTATACTCTCACATGAATTCGGGTTTGATATTCGGATTGTCTTGAAGGGTGACCATTCAAATATAAACATCTTCTCGGATTTACTTAAATTGGAAAATAAAGTTAAGGATATGATAAAAATTGTAAATTCTGGATAATGAGAAACCAAAGGAATAAGCATTTTTTTCTCATTTAATAAGAAAAAAAGCATTGATAAACGTGCAGAGGATATAAAGGAGAGGATCATGATCATTGGTGAAGTTAAAGTAATCCAATAACCAAATTCAGAATGATGAAATTTTAATGATGTTGACAAAAAGACAAGAAGCAATTGAGATATGTAAATTGGTTTGACAAAAGTAGTACCGAAAGTATCAACCAAATTATTCGCGACAGCGAACTGTACTAGGATTAGGGCAACTACTTGTTGCCCATTGGTTGCAAGGTCAATAGTGATAAAAATGTAGTTTATCAAATATAATATGACTACTGTTATGTGAAATTGAGCTTTACGCAAAAAGTGTGGTTTAAGGAAAACTAAATAAGTGGTACGCATTTTTTCGTTTGAGTTATAATAGGAACATAATTATATTTCATATCACTCCAAACTTTTATCAAAAAAAAGCAATTTCAAAATAGAAACGACTTTACTAATTAATTTCAGTGTTACTTTAATCACTTGATATCTATTAACGTTAACTATTACGTATCATCCCTACTTTTCATCAATAAAAAGCAAGATTCAAAATAGAAACGACTTTACAAATTAGTTTCGGTGTTGCTTTAATCATTTGATATCTATTAACTATTACGTATCATCCCTTATTTTTCATCCCCATAAGATCCTATTGTAAAAGTCATATTTATCCTGATCTTCGTTTTCACGATTTTCCGTATTATTGCTTCATACTTTATACTTATGCATGCATATAGATATCAATTATATCATATTTTATTACTTTATATAGTTATTCATTTTTACAAATGTTTTATATAATATATCCTGGCTTAATGGGTTTGGTTGGTTTTTTTGGGGGGTCGTGTTAAATGCAATATAGAACTATCACAGTCGACCGCGTAACCGGCATTTACATATAACTATTAACACGATCTAAGGGAATTCCTAATCTCTGGTGAGCCAAATTAATTAATAGAGAATGTCTAAAGCCAGGTAGTTGTTAAATTGATTACTATAAAGTAAAAAACACATGATACATATAAATTACTATCTGGCTTTAACGAACTCTATAAATAGGAATGCAATTTTGTACATACGTACATACGTAATAATTATTTATGAATTATCCCTTATCTGTTATGTAATTATTACTTGTTATATATGTATGAACATATGATGAGAGAAAATATGGTTATTTCAGATAAGATAACAGATAATAGATACGTACGTAGAGATAGCAAATTAAGACATTTGATAAATAATATCACATTTGGAATTTACTGGATTTACTGGTTGAAACCGTGGGATACTATTCGTCATATGGTTTGGAACGTCCAAAATAGTTTTGGTAGCATCGCTAATGTTTTAGATGCATTTACTATTAAATTTTTTTTTTTTTATTGCTTTATAACTAGATGACATCCATGGAGACATGTAAATCCATTGAAGATTCTAATCAAAAGTGACAATCCTTGGACAATTAAGTCTATTACCAAAATTCTTAGGTCTCACGATATTCTTATTTTGACAACAGTGAACATATAATTTTCAATGAGCTGAAATGCGAAAATTTGAAGAGCTTTGTGAGATATATGATACTTATTGGAACAGAAAAATACAAATGACTCGTGATATCTAACAATGGCTTATAATTTGACATGGAGTAAATATTTATTTGTTATTAATTTAGATGCGAAAATGATCTTGATTTGTCGATAAATGTTCTACAAAATTAGTGGATAAAATAAAAACAGATTCAAACTAAATACACATGTGACTAAATGCACATGTGAAACAAAATGTCAAATACCAGTTAGAAATATATAGATAAACTGATAGGCTATAAAAAAAAATGTAGATTGATCAATTTAGCTAATGTTAATAAATATAAATATAGCCAGTTAACTAATTTTAATAAAAAATTATAACTATCATATATTTCCGAAATTAAGCCACTCTTTTTTTTTAACATGTTTACTATACAAAATTTTTATTTTTGGACGCTCAAACGATAATAAAAAGTTGTTCAAATTGCATTGGTATACCTATACTTAGAAATCCAAGACCATAGCGCCGTAGGATCTTATGGAGCAAAGCCACTTGCCCGATTTGGTTTAACAGCTGTCAAGATAATGTTGTTACGAGAATGGTGCTGACGTTAAATCCCTTCTGTCTTAGAGAAAATTGTAATGAGAACTGAGTCCTCCAAATATCTATTATTATTGTATTAAATTCTATTGCCGTCAACATTGACCAATTAGAATCGTGACATATAGTTCCACGTAAAATAATAAACCTCAATTCGTATCCCCTAAAGCTTACCACTTACCATGACCCTCGTAACGCCAAGTCGTTCCCGCGTAACTTGCTCAACTATACCAAAACCGTTAATAAAATTATTATAAGTACATACTTGGTTGGTGAAAAGTGTCCGTTTTTAATCTCTGATATACTATTGATTGTTATTTAACGTTTATACCAATATTACGCAGATATAATAAAATAATTATAGAAATTTATTATTAGCGGAGATAGTAAAAGGGTCATTGCTCAGTTACTTTTTATCAATCGGGCAAAATTTTTCGAATAACGGGTAAATACACACGTGCAAAACGACATGTGTTCAGCCAATCATTTGCCAGGTTGAACCAAATTATTGTTATTCAAAAATTTACCAAATACATTAGATATGGGCAAAGTCAGTTACATATTATTACTTAATATTACTTAATATTACCGTGAAATAGGTAATAAATAATAAGTAATTTTGATTCTTGGCAGCAATTTTTCGTTCAATCTCAATTTTGATCGCTGTTATCATGTGTTTTATATGTATACATAATAAGTAATAGAATGTAATAAATATTTATATTATTTAATATTAAGTAAGGGATAAGTCATAGCGATAGGTCATTATTACTTACAAAATTACTTTGCACATCCATACAATACATGATGACTGAGTTTAATTTGAATAAACATGATTACATAGCGATAGCAATACGTGAAAAAACAACAAGCAGAAATATATGGACAAATGATTACTTAATTTTTATGAAATAATTTTAATATAATTTAATATAAATCATTTAATTGTAAAGTTACTTAACAATTTATATAAATTTATGTTTTTTTTTTATGTAGTATTATTGAAGGTCCATAAAATATTCGTAAAAAATTATGTAAAGTCGTAAAATTACATGTAGCTTAGCAAAGATTGTAATCAGGTTTGTTCTAACTTATTGTGATAGGTTAAATGATAAGTTCCCTATTTGTCGGTACCTTACGGTAACTAACGGTAATTTAAATTGCAACAAATTTAGCTAAAATTTATAACTAATTCAGTCAAGTCAGTCAAACTTTTGCAACTTATTCTGATTAAATCATGTAACTTATTCTAGTCAAAAATTGCAACGAATTGATTCTAGTCAAAAATTGCAACGAATTCTGGCAAAAAATTGTCTAATGATTTGGTTAAAAGCTGTGACTAATTCCATTTATTATTGCGTTTTGCAAAAGATATGACCTCTAAAGAGCATAATATTGTGTAAAAAATCGATGATAAAAATTTTTACCGATTTTAAAGAAATCATATAAAGTAATAGGCACTCTAAGATCTCTCACAAAGTGCTGTTATAAATAAATCACTAGTCTAAATATAATAAATCTGATTATTAACTAATTACTGTCTAATTAGTGATGATTTTTTGTATCTACATAAATCGTTACCGTTACTAATCAAATCAAATAGTAATCAGTTAGCAATCTGGTTAAAATCAGGTACCTGATTCTTGGCTGATATTTTATATTTCAACTAGCGAATAAAATTAAATCTAAGTTCACATATTGTATTATATGAATGAACCTTTTATCTATAATTTAAATGGTGCAAAACCTTAACCGGAATTTTATGAGATGTATGCTCGGAAAGTGGGTTAGTCTTGGCAAAAAAAAAAGGTCTCGATTACGTAATCGGCGATCACTTCCGGCTTCTTTGACGTAGCTTGATAAATCATATGCCAGTATTAAGATTATCAAGCTAAATCGTTTAAGATCACTCCGACTATGTTCGAAATGACATGAAATTTTTTTGCCTCGAGTGTCTTTTACGTATAAGGTGAATTAATTCAAGCCTTTTTGATAGCTTTCCTCTTTTGAGATCCGGTATTTAGTATAAGTATTGGTACGGTTTAGCCGCTTAAGAAATAATCCCATAGTTTGGGTCGAATTATACAGTTCATGAACAAAATTATTTAATTCCGACTAAATTATACGGTTACCGTTTAGAAAATCTTAAACGGTTCCAATCCCTAGTTCAGTGCATACTATACTATAGTAGCAAATAAAATTAACCGCCAAGTTTCATCAGTTAAATCAATACAGTTTCACAGTTTCACAATGCAACACAAAATCTATATCTGAAACTAACTTTTAACCATTGATCGTTAGTGTTGATGCAGGCAATTATCATCTAAATTAGGAAGAGAAGAAATCATCTAATTTAAATATAACTCTAATAACGATAATCTCTTTTCTTAAAAAATGGTTTTCTCAATAGATTTTTTCATCCGTATCCTAAATTTATCCGTCTTACATCCTTCATTTGCAATACTTTTTCTTTCTTTTGTATACTTTCAAGGGTATGGTGTGAGTCAACCGGAATTTTTGTGGACTAGTGTTTATACTTTAGCAATATGCTTTTTTTGGTTTCTAGGTTATTTGAGTATAAAAAGTAGAAGTGGTTGGAAAACATCCCAAGTTGATTGGAATGAGGAAGTTGTAGTTATAACTGGAGGTCGATGTCATAATATATATCTTATTTTTTTTATATCTAAAAACATTATGTCTCAATTGTTCCATTCCTTGTTAATGAACGTATAGGTTCGAAAGGCCTTGGAAGTTTACTAGCTGAAACTCTTGCAATTAGAAATGTTACTGTTGTTATATTAGATATTAGGCCTCCAGAAATTGAAAATGGTATTCTTTGATTTTTTTTTTTTTTTATTGAAATAATTGTTTTTTTTTTTTTATGAAAAATGTTAAAAATTCATATTCTTATAAATTATTGTCTAGTTAATGTAATGTATTATGAATGTGATGTGTCAAAACTTGAAGAGGTTCAAAGAGTTGCTAAGGAAATCATTGATGAGGTATATATTATTTTATAATTAATCTTTTTTTATCTGTGAGGTAAAATTGCGAACATTGATTTAGAGATCGGAACTGAATATAAATTTATGCATCGTTGGGTTTTAATGTTAAAAATTTGAAAATTAATATAACAGAATTGGTTCTATTTTATAAAATTTAACACAAGCTAATTTATATTAAATAATAATATTTTTTTTTTATATTCAACACAATCTAATTATATCCAATTTATTTTTCATTTATAATACGTAACTGGTTGTAAATACAAGTGACTCTCGTTATGGTAAAGTGATCGGGCTGTGAAGTTTCTTTACTATATCAAGAACCTATTAGTAAAATTCACTATATCAATAGGGTTTTGTATAAATTGTTATTCACAATACTTATACGTATCACGTATCGAGAGTTCACTATAACGAGAATCACTTGTAATAAACCCAAACTTATTTCGAATTTATAATGGTTCCAACATCTATATTGATTCAGAATTGAACAGTACCTAGTTAACAACTACTAAATTTCTTACCTCATAAACTTGTATTTAGGCTGGCCATCCTACTATTCTAATCAACAATGCTGGCATTGTTCAAGGAAAATCTATTCTGGATTTATCTGAAAAAGAAATAGTGGAGTGAGTTGTTTGATTATATTTTGACTCACAATATGATGAATCTTTACTGCTATTAACAATAACAATAAAAATAACAATGACATTATATAAATATCAAGCACTCTCAACGTTAATTTATTATCATCTTTTTGGACCACCAAAGTATTTCTGCCTGAGATGATCAAGAGAAATCACGGACATATAGTAAAGTAAAATTCTACTACTTATCAAATAATTTATATTATAATTTAATATGTGATTTCTTTAATTATGTATTAAAGGTAACGATAGCATCTGCTCTTGGGTTTATTGGAATACCTCAGTTAGGTATTTATATATTCAATTATTACATATTAAACGTATAAGTTCATATTATATATTGTAATTCACGTTTTTTATATATGAATTACAGCTGACTATTGTGCAAGCAAATCTGCATTGATCGGTTTTCATGACACACTACGTCGTGAATTGGACGGCCGGTAATATTGATTATAAAATTTTTTTTATTAAACATATTATTTTAATTGCTGATTCGCATAAGAAGGATATAATTAAATTTATTATTATGCTTTATCTCTCTAATTAAAAATGTAGAGAACACTTTTTTTGTATGCAATACAAAAAATTATTAAATTGGTTTAGTAGATAAAAAATATTTATATTTTTTATTACGATATAAAATTTTTAGGAAAAAAAATTTCATCCTTATATAAAATCCTATCCTTCTTATATGAATTATGAATAATCGTTTCTAATATAGAAATTATATTCCAACTAGATATAATGCGAAAAATATTCGAACAACATTAGTCTGTCCTGGAGAAATCAAAACTGGAATGTTTGATGGAGTAACTGTTAGATTCCCTTTTTTAACACCTTCGATGGCTGCTCTCGAAGTAGTTAAACCTATAATCACTGCTCTGGATAAAAATGAAGAACATTATATCTTGATTCCATTTTATGTTAATATTTTAGCATTGTTAAGATTCTTACCATTGTTTGTTCAGGATTTGTTTTATAAGGTTAATTTTATTTTTTGATTGTTTTTTCTTCATCATCTTTTTTTAATGCTTTTTTTTTTTTGGTTAGTTAAACGATGGTGAACGTTCAATGTTAGCATGGAAAGGTAAGTATAAGAATAAAGATCAATAGGATAAAAAAAATTGTTCCCAAGTTGTCAATAGAAAAATTTAAACATTTGAAATATTTACAAGATTATGTCAAATGTGAATAGATTTCACATATTATAATTTAAATAAAAGTAAATAGAAATTTAAACAAAAAGTTCAATTTCAAAAGGTATATTACCATTTTAAAGTCAACTTAAAAACTTTGAAAATTTCGTAAAAAAATAGATCTTTGCACCTTGATTTTTACAATCATTGAATATGATGAAAATTGAAATCAAGAACTTTGAATCTGTGTTATCAGTGGTCATTTTGTTAAAAAAAAACCGGTCTTTTTAATCGCCATTAATATGATTTTCTTTACACATTACTTAATTATTTTTATATTCTATGAATTTTTTTTTATTAATCACGCAATTTAGTATTTTCGAAACATATATAAATTATCGTTATCTAACAATCTGATCTTAAATTTTAGTTTGAAAAAAAACTCTTGATGTTGATGCCATGCCAAAGTCTTATACGTACCAGTGAAAAAAATTATTGATCCCATATCTAGTTAGTACACTAATTGAAATGTTTTTACTATACCTATTTTTTAAATCTCTGTCGATTCTAGTGATGCGGTAGAATCGTCCCAATGATAGTCGTCACATTACCGTAACTTACCGTAACTATAGCAAGTAATATAGCTATAAGGCCGTGACTTACTATATTACTTACTATAGTTACGGCAAGTTAGGGTAATGTGACGACTATTATTGGGACGATTCTACCACATTACTAGTCGATTCTAATACGTGAAATAAAGAATAGGCTGAGTTACTAGACCTTTTTATTTGTCCGCCTTATCAGTTATAGTGTCTATTGAGTTAATTTTAAATACAGTATTTATCATCGTGATATTGTACTAGTATGATGTATTTAAATACAACTTGTTAATTTGAGTACATTTGTTATAAAATTATTCACTCTTTCTTTCTTTCGATTGCTTAAACAAAATAAAAAAATAAAAAATTTCCCCGCATTTTGTTCTCTTTACGAATTTTGATTAACGACACGTATCAAATTTTTTTTTATTCAAATTATTTTGGTCATTAAATTGATGTCACCGATTACCGAACAATTCTCAACGATTTCTGAAATTTTATCAATTTTTAATTGGTCCAAAAAGGAAAGAATTGGTTCATCGAAAAACATCAAAGATGATAATGATAAGAAGATCGATCATTATGAAATGACAGCATTAAAAAAATCATGTGAAGAATGTATTGGTTCAACCTTACCATCACAAATTACAATGAATACTTTGGTAGATTTGATCGATCAAACAATTCAAGATTCATGTACTGAATATAATTCACGAGCATTCAAAATAAATTATTATTGGATATCGGATTTTTCAACAGTATTAATTGTTTCATGCGATACAACTTTGAAAGAATTTAAACAATATGCTATTCAACAATTCGGTGAAAAACATTTGGTGGCAGATGATTGTGTTGTACTCGCACATACTCAAAATTTCGACCTTCTTAAGGATGTTGTTAGAATTAAAGATGCAACTGAATCAAGGAATGCTATACACTTTGTAGGATTAGTGGTAATGAACAAAATAAAAATTGTATCTTCTGAGATCGCGTGGAAAAATTGTTTGGCAATGAATTGTAGCGTTATTGAGGTTACAATATTTTCGAAAGAAATGCTTGTTTGATGTCGAATTTAATGTTTATATCCAATCCTCTAAGGTTGAAATCTTTACATGTAGAGTTAATGCAAATCAAAAATTTACATCTTGAGTGAATGTTAATAGTTTGTACTTGATTATTCAGCAATGAAAGGATGATAATTGCATTTAAATAATCAAAGCTTTTTTGAATAGATGACATATTTTCATTGCATAACTTTTGTCTTTGTTTACCGAACATAATGTCATAATTTCATAAGTGGTTGAGCGAATATTCAAAAAAAAAACCCCATTATATCATCAAAAAAAATTTTTGGTTTTATACATTTACTCTGGACTCTGTTCTTTAAGAGATCAATAATGATCATACGCAAAATATAGCGATAGAAATAGTTGTTAAATTTGTATCGCTCGTGGATATCTTTCGTCAAATAAGAATCAGATCCATTTAACTGTGCTTCATATTATAGGCTAAATTGTGTTGGTCATGGATCAGAATTATAATTGGTTGAATTAAACGGTTAATATTATTAAATCAAATGGTTTTTTTTGGCGATTAATAATTTATTATGGGCAGCTAGACATTAAAGCTTTACTTTTTTTTTGCTATTACAGCAAGGTAATTTAAAACTAGAGAATAAGAAATGTAACTAAACGAATGAAATCGCATTCGCATGCTATTATCTTATCAGGTTAGATTTCTTGATATTTTAATTGCACGTGCAATTGTTATAAATTTCATGAAATATACCGATTCAAAGATTGTCAAAGTATAGTATGAGAATTCATTTTGATTCAGGTGCCAACAAGTGAAAATCAGAAAGTAAATTATAGGATAATACATATTTATTGTATAGTGATCTGTATTTAAACTTCTTAGTTTTCACTTGGCGGCATTCGTTTTATCTAATAACGTTGATGAGCTTGGAGTTTAGGTTCAAGAGTAACCGTCATATTTCATCCCCATAACTGTATACCATTATATAATAATTTAAAATTGATATCTTTTATATTTATAATATAGAAATAGTTATACGTATGTATGTAATCAAAGTTTAATTAACCAACTTATCATATCGATATCATTTAAACTAAATTCTTAATTTACAATATTTTTCATAGTTTTAAAAAACTCATCTACCCCATCTTGAAATTTTTCGCCCCAAACTTCAAAAATCCCAAAATCGGTGACCTTTCCGTCTGGTGTCAATCCTAACTTTTTTAATAAAGGATTACTCATTATACCATTTGGATCAAATTTCTTAATTTGTTTAATAAATGAAAGAACGTTTTGATCTCCATATGCATTCATTAAATATTTATGGTCAAGTTTGGGAGAAAAATATTGTCCCCAATGGCATCTCGCATTATGCTTCACTGCGGTTTCAGTCAATGTATCAAATACACGCTTATAATGATCAATCCAAACGTCCTAATTTTTTTTTTTAAAAAAAAAAAAAGACAAAAATTAATATGAAAAAAAAAGAACAAGATTTTCGAATTTTAATAATGCATACATAAACCAAGATAATCATTTCCAAGTATGCTCTAGTCTCATCACCCTTTCCATTTCCCATGGAAAGATATTGTGAAGAAGCAGCAGAAAATCTCATAGAAGCTGGTCCATGGATGTTTAAATTGTGTTTGTCTCTTAGTTCTTTGAGTGTTTTCAAAATCGCATCTGTTGCTACTATATGATTATCATCTTTCGTTGAAAATGAAAATTCTACCGAAATTACTTTAAAATCATTAACGAAACCTTTTTTTTAAATACAGCAGTAAATAAGTAAATAATAATTAAAATTTAAACAGGTTTTTTTTTTATAAAAAAAAATTATTTAACCTACCAGGACCCAATGAGTTATAAACTAATTCATAACTATCAACAATAGGATCTTTGTGATTTTGAGATCTCAAAGCTTCTTCATTAATAAATGGTACAAAAGCTGAAAACAGATGTAATAACAAATATAAAGCACCACCCGCTGTAATGCTCAAAACCTTTGTTATCTCTTGCACTACAGGTAACTCAATAAATTCTTGAAACAACATTTTGGCCTCTGATTTTGGATACATTTTCACATCTTCATTTGCTGCCAAATCTCTTAAAGTAATCAAAGCGTAATCTGTGTACGGGCTTATCCAAACTTCAACATTGCGATATTTCAAATAGGGGTTTATAGAATAGGGTTTCTGTTTTAAAACAGATTTGGCATTTGTCCAAGTAGTTTCTTCTCTTCTTTCAATAATGCTAAACAAAGGAATGGTTGAAATGGTGACTTCATAGGTCACACCAAGAGCGCCAATATTTACTACAGCAGCATGAAACGTTTCATCATCTTGGATTAAATTTATATTAGGAAATTTTTGAGTAAATTTGGAGGCATCTGTGATTCCTTTTGTTGGTTCTACTTTATAAATTTTCTCTCCTGTTTTTTTAAAAAGAAATTGTTAGAAACATCAAAAAAAAAATAATTAATATAAACGTATTTTTCATTACCTGGAGCAACCATTAATACCGAAACTACAAATGAACACAAAGGTGGTAGAGTGACGCCACTACCGTGCGTAGAAGTTGCATTTACACTATTAAATATGATGAAAGTTAAAATGAATTAATAATCACATCTAATATTGTGTTTTTTTTAAAAAAAGTTAATAGTAAAGAGAAATGAATTAATTTAAATAATATTTACCCAATTATATCCTGTCCTTAAAATAAAAAAAATTTAAAATGTTACTAAAAACTAGCTTTATAAAAATACAGATTAAAGCCTTTTATCATTGAATTTACCAGTCCATCCACCAACATTAAAAAAAGCTCTGTTATCTTTTTTCAAAGCGGGAAGGATTTCATAAATCTTAGTTCCCCACTTCACATCATAATAGACAATATCGTCTTTCTTAGCTTGAGATATAGCATCTTCATTTAATAAATTCAAATCTGTTTTGGAAATATTAGAAGTTTTACTTGGTTTTAAAAGGTATCCATTTGTTTCTGCTACTTTACTGTTTTAAAAGATTTTAAAAGGCAGGTTATTATATAAATATGATTTATGATATTATTTTCTTGTGCAAATTGCGTAAAAAATATATGATACCTAAAAGCTGCAAAAGATCCAACAGCTTTAACATGCTTATTCTCCTTAACAGAGGTTTTCATTACATCTTGTAATTGTTGGAATGATTCAATATTTACTATATCAGATTTAAATCTAACATTTCCAACACGATTAGTTGCCACTTCTACAAGAATAAACGTTGAAATAAATAGAATTTTATATCACTCAATATTATCAATCATAATAGTAAGAGAACCTTCATCATCTCCGGTAGAAACTTTAGAATCTTCGAGAATTTTTTTATGAGCTTTCTGGATGAGTTTCCCTAAGAAAAAAAAAAAACATCACGATTCTTTAATTTACTATTACAGAAAACTTATTAATTCAAATCCAATTTTTAAAAGAATTACTTAATTTCTCTGCGATTTCTTCATCCTTTATAAAAATATCATTAAGCTCTCTGATATCTTTTCCGTCGTAAATTTCTTGCACTTCTTTGTCAAAAAATCCCATAGTTTTTTTTTTCACTTTAGAGTTGGTTTAATGCTAGATTATTAATTTATAATAAATATCATTGATAAATTCGTTTTCTTTGACATTTTAAGTTATAGTATACCGGATATGTACTTGTACGACATTTTATGTTTTACAAATGGAAATCTCTTGTTCTTTTCAGTTTTACGAAATACCATAATCAACTCCGATTTTGAGTACGTAAAATTTTTGATTCGGTGCTCTGATTTTTTCCTTTATGCACATTCTGGAATGAAGGCTAAGAACAAAATGAAACTTTTCGGTATATTACCGATCGAAGCTCAAAGCAGTCAGATGACTTTGTGTCAATAAGAGAAATAGGGTTGCCTGATTGCTTCCAAATTAAACCCTATGGGTATCTTATTGTCTACGGATTTTGGTGTAAAAGAAGGCCAATATTATAAAATAGTTAATAAATAGAGTAACTTACTCTTGATTAAATACTTTAAATCACTAAAAATTTTCGCCAAAATCCGTAGCGGTAGGTAATAGGATACCAATAGGGTTAAATTGTCATCAAATGTGTAATATTATTTTAACTAATGTTCTATGATTTATGCTTACAATAAAAAAAAAGAATTTAAACCTCTCATATAAAATAATATGGATAAATAAATTCCACTCTAATATCGTTCATATTGTATTATTATTCGACCAATTTGGTTTTAAATTAATTCTATGGCATAACGATAATATATTTCCCATTTTACTTTCAAATTTGTGCATATGCAGAGGCTTATGCAATACAGTTCTGATACGAAACTTGCATTATATTCTCCTTAATAAAATCAGCTGAAATAATACCCTAGATTCGCAAGGCCATACATACGTGTGACAGGTCAGAGTATGGATCAGCGATTTGCTGTGATATATTTTTAGAGTATATTAAATTAGGTATGATATATTTTTTGTATTTTTTGAGTATTTTACGAACATATTAAATTAGTTATAATGATGTTTTAATATATGTTATAGTATTTTGTTTAGCGAAGAATAATAAATTAAATAATAATATATAAGTTTAAATAAATATGTTTCATTTTTTCAAATCTTAATTATGGGTCCGAAGCAAGTTTCATTAGACAGTCGAGCATTAGAATTTAAAGAGGATTTTGTAAAAGATGGTGATAAGTTAATATGTCGATTCTGTCACTATAGTGTTGATTATAATATTCAATCAACTATAGTTTCATATATTGGATCAAAAAATCATATCAAAAATGAAGCTACTGCAGAATGAACAGTAGTTTGAACATGGCAACAAACATTTTCAACACTTGTACAAGCATCTGAATCAAGAAAAAATACTGTAAAATCACTTATAAAGGTTTTCGTTAAGGCAAATATCCTTTTTGAAAAAGTTGACAAACTTTATAATTAGATTAAGGAAAACCTTCATGAAGTTGGTGCAGTATCATCTGTGAGTAACTTACATATACATTATTTATCAGAAGTTTATAAAACAATTATTATAGAATTTAAAATATTTTTTGAAAATAAAAAAGTATCTTTTATTATATATTAACTAAAAATTAATTATATATTTTAAAATAATATTTTATATTTTTACTAGATAATATATTAAAAATATTTAATTAAAATATTAAAATATTTTTATAATTATTACAATATATTTTTATATAATATATTAAAATATTATATTTATTAATAAATAATTAATACTTAAATTAAATATCAATATATTTACAAAATAATAACTAAAGTAATATTTAAGTTTTAGACTAGTGATTATACTTAGCATAGATGTCTTAAGTTCCTATTCAAAATAGTGTCCCTAAGATTACAAATCATCTTTTTTATTCAACTGATTAACAAGATACAGTTACTATAATACAGATATAATTTCCAAATTTCACTATTTATAGAATTTGAACATTAGACCTGCTACTTGGGAGTTGGCAACCTGTTTACTTTACTAAGTCACTATATTCCTTTTTTTATTATTTTTTAACCAGTATAAATTATACATAAACATATGTAAAACATTACACTAAATAGTAAATTTAAAACATGTTATAGAAATTAAATTATTTTCAATACATGTAGTATGCAGTGATTGAATTAAGTGTCTAATTCTATATAAATACCTTTTATAAGTCTACACTCTCTCTAAATATATACTCAAATTCAGGCTCAACTATATACAGTAAAGTCTCTATAAGTATATACTCTTGAGACCAAACTTTAATATTGTGCACTTAAAGAACTATAAGAAAAAGTTTGCTCATAATAATCATATATATAGTTGAACCTATATTTGGATATGAATCTAGAGTGAATGTCACTTATAGAAGGTGCACTTACAGAGGTTTTACTGTATATCATATAATACTGAAAAATACTAAAATTAAAAATAATCAAATTTGGTTAAAATTATTATTATAAATTTTTTGAAATGTTTTAGAATTTATAAAAGCAGCTATAAAATATCTATTTAGTATTATTAAAATACAATATGTAAAAAAATTTTAAGATTTAACCTAGCTGAGTTATAAAGTAACTAAGATATTAATTTTATTGTTCTAAATAAAAAAAAATAAACAAATCTTTATACAAGCTATTTTTGTGATATTATTAACATTAAGAGTTTTACACATTTTTGACTATAACTTTTGATATACTGAACCAATTTGGATGAAACAACCACCATTGGATTCAGCTCACTGAGACGATTCTTGAGCACAAGATCATGTGATTCTGATCACAGGATCATGAGATCAGGACGATTTTGATGAAAAGCACTAATTGTAATACATGTGACTTGATTCTGATTGGCTCAAATTACTGTGCCAGAAAT